ATTATTCATTAATCAGTGTGTCATCTGAGTACAATTTTTTGTGTCATACTAGTTATAGCTTACCACCAAATTCTTTATATACATCTATTCTTATTTTAATATTACAACTTAACATATCTCCTGTTATAACATTTATCTTCCTAAATTATTTAATTTTATACTTTTTATCCATATTCATTTTCTGATCAATGATAAAATAACCCCCATATATTATAATAATCAGATTCTTCCTTTCCTTTAATTGCTAGTGTTAATCTATTCATTTCTGCACATTCTAATATTTTCTTAATCACCTTTTCAACTTTAAGGATTTCTTCAGCTTTCCATCAGTCACTGTTTTTGGAACAACCCACATTTTGATCCATTGGTTACAACAGAAATTGCCTGATAAGGTTGTCATCCAAATCTGACATCATGGGCTATGTGAGAGTGATTGGCCCAAAGTCACTCAGCCGGCTTTCATGCCTAGAACTAAAATCTTAGTCTCTAGGGGGTCTCGTCTGGAGACCAAACCACTAAACAACCAAACCTAATCACTAGACCAAACTAGCTCTTTGATGAACTGGAAGGATTTGATTGGTAATACAACCAGGAATAAAATTAATACAACAAGGAATTTGATAAGTTTCAATTCTTCAGTGGCAGATATGAAAATCAAATAAACTATTAAAAGCATCCTATAGTCCAATTATATTCTTTAGGAGAGTTCCATGTAATCAGCTGTATGGAATTTTTAATTATGGATTGCCACCATGTGGGTGATTAAAAGCATGACTATATGTTCAGATGTTCAGTAGAGGCCTTTGCATTGGACCTTGCTATTTGCAGTATAATTGTGAAGGTTTCTCAGAAGGCCACTTTAATGTTAGTTCTCAAAAAGGCTAATCGTTTTTGGGCTTTGTCAATATGTACTCTACTTTTGTGAGAAGAGAAGGCTAGACTAAGATATTTTGACTTTCACATAATTAGTTTAGAGGGACTGAAGGCTAAAATACACAAAAATAGTGGCAACCTAGGAATTGGGTATGTCTAGTTTAATGAAAAGAGGAAGGGATGACATGATAGCAATATCTCAGAGGCTGCCACAAAGAAAAGGGAGTCAACCTCTTCTCCAAAACACCTGAAGGCAGACAAGAAGCAATGGATGGAAACTAATCAAGGAGAGAAGCAACCTAGAACTAAGGAGAAATTCCCTGACGGAACAATAAACCCAGTGGAATGATTGTGGGTCCTCCAGAAGTTGTGGGTGCTCCAACCCTGGATGATTTAAGAAGAGATTGGACAACAATTTGTTTGAAATGGTATAGTTTTTTCTGCTTGTGTGGGGTGTTGGACTAGAAGATCTCAAAAGTCCCTTCCAATTCTGTTAGTGTAGCTCAATGGCAGATTTTCACCATTTTCTATATTGACAGGAATTTAAATGTATCAATAAAGGGGAATATTTGTAGTTCAGGGTAGAAATGAGGGGTCATTGGTGCACTCTGAGCTTGGTTGTTCTCTTGTAGACATTTCATCATAGGTACCTAGGTACCACCATGAGTGCTAGTAGAAAGCATGAAGGAGCCCTCATTTACATGTCTGTAAATTCCTGCCAATATATTCTGAGAGATACAAGAGGCTTGTCTAAATCATGGACTTTCAAAAGTGGGAAGAGAAATGAGGGAAGGGGGGAGAAAGAAATAAAAAAAGAAAAAGCACTGACTTACAGCTTTTTTCCTCTTGTGCATAAGATACATAATAAAGTTATAGTATCAATTTTTAGTTATGCCAAGTAATAACTGCTAGTCATTTCTATAACAATAGCCCATTTAAGTGTCAAAGCCCAAGCTCCAAATTTCTTATTTTTTCCTCTTTCATGCAGATTAGTTAATTCCTCATTAATATGTGCATATTGGGATGTATCAATTGAAATAGTAACTTGAATAAATTGCTCTCCAAAGTCCATTTCCTCTAAAAGTCTGTAAAAATTCCTTTAATGTTTAATACGACAAAAGAAGAAAATAACTGGAGAATTGCTGATTAGAGAAAAATCATAAATTTTAATTACATTAATTCAATATTACTGACATTTCAAGTGGTGCTCTTGGCCTGTGCACCTTTTAGAGTTTCACAAATTGGTAACACACTCCAACTTGCTGTCTTCATATCTTTAAATTAGAAGATAGTGGAATAGAAATGGCAGAGATGGCAAGTACTGAAAGACACGCAGTACTAAGGGTAGCTGTGAGAAAGATAAACAAGTGGGTCTCTGCTGAGGCAAGTGTAAAATAAAACTGCAAGTGCATGAAAGCATGGACTCTTGGCAGGCCCATTGCAGGTGCTACAACTATTCTACAGTGCTATGGCTGGTTATACTTTAGTGATAAACAGGAGAGAGAAGCTAAGTTAGTGAGTATGGTAGATATGTTAATTGACCTGCATTATTATTCCTGCCAGGTACCGTATTTTTCAGACTGTAAGGCACACCTTTTTTCCTCAAAAAGGAGGCTGAAAATCTGGGTGTATCTTATATATCGAATACAGCATTTTTTGCCTCCCGAAGCCCCGCCCCTTCACCAAAATGGCCGTGCATACCGTTATGAAGGCTTTCAGAGAGGTCCTGGAGGCTGAGGAGGGCAGAAATGGGCAAAAATGGGCCATTCCCCCCCCACACACACCCCAGCAGCACTCTATAAGCCTCCATAAGCCTATGCATGCAATTTGTTTGACAAAAAATGGGCCAGTTTTTGCGAAAAATGGGTAGTTTCTTACTCATTTTTGCCCCTACCCCCCAGGACACACTGCAAGCTCCCCCCCACCAGGCTGTTCATGCCTTTTAAAAAAATGGCCCTGTTTTCGTGAGGTTTGCAGAGTGCAAAAACTTTTTTTTTCCTTTTGGAAAGCTCTTTAACTAATTGATGAGAATTAGATTGACCAAGTGCTGTGCCAGCAGAAATGAAGTCTTAGGTGCTGCAGATTGTCAGCAATTTCCTTCTCCAGCACATGGATAAATACACCTAGAAACATCTACCTACCTACCTACTCTCTCTCCCTATCTATTGTATTTCTCTCTCCCTACCTCTCTCTCCTTCTATCTACCTACTCTCTCTCCTTACCTATTTACTGTATTTCTCTATCCCTCTACCTATCAACCTACCTACTCTATCTCTACCTATCTATTGTATTTCTCTCTCTATTTCTCTCTCTCTCTATCTACCTACCTACCTATCACACCCACACTCTCTCTCCCTACTTACCTACTGTATTTCTCTCTCTTTCTCTCCTTCTCTAGCCCTTTACCTACCTACCCACTTTTTTAAAAAAATTGCCTCTTCAAAACCTTGGTGTGTCTTATACTCCGGTGTGTCTTATACTCTGAAAAATATGGTAAATCACTTTTGTTTTGAAAACAAGTACTTAACATCCATCATACTGTTTTCACTCTGCTCAAGGGCCAGATTTTAGTCCAGTGCTTCCCAATTTTTTTCCTTCATTATCCAGAACTGCTTATCAGAAATTTTTTTATCTAACTATCCCTGTTGTGATTGGGTAATGAGTTTCTGGGTCTCTTTCCAGAGAGGGAAAAATATATATTTTTACACAATTTTGGGTGATTGACCCAGCTTTGGAAAACATTGCTTTAGTGCCAACCACTTAGATGATTTGCTACACTATTTGAGTTGTTGAGTTATTTTGCTAACTAAATAATTTTACAATCAAATGAGCTTGCTTCCTCCCACAAACCTTTCAGTTAGTCTGATGAATTATGAATCTAGAATATGATCAGTTTTGGATTTCTAAACAAATGTACTGTTGGTTTAGTAAGTAGAATGAGAAAAAAATGGATACTTCCATATGCTAGTTAGTATTCGGTTTCTCTGCGTATGTAAAATACATAAGCCACTATAAAGTACTGTTAAAAATACTTCAAAGGTTCCAATCCACAGCAGTGATTTAGAGGGATCTCTTAATAGGTTCCCTGTAGGAACACGTACATGATTAAACCAATATATCCATGCTGCTCTTTCATACTTGAAATGACATTGCTGTTGCTTCTGGCGACAGGAGTATACAGTACATGAACCATGACAGCATGGGAATTACCCTACCTTTACAAGCACAGTTTCTGTTTGATACAGAAAAGTCATCCCAATAATGGTCCTGGATCTTTCGTACTGAAGTGTTTAATATCAGTTTGCTAAAATGATTAGATTAGCTGAACCTGATCTAAATTCATGGGAAGTGTGGGTATGTTCAGCAGCAATTTTTTATGCAAAATATGTATAGTCTTTTTTTATAAAAAAAACAACCCCAATTTTATTAAATTTCAAGGAAAGCTAAAATACAATATTAAAAAAATTAAAAAGATCAAAGGATGAAAAAGTTAAAAAGTGACAAAAAGGGGAAGGTTATAAAAATGATTTCCAAGTTTCTTCAGTACAGATAAAATATATAATAAAATACTTCTAATTTAGAGTCAGTATTTTATTATATGTTTTATCTGTACTGAAAAAACTTGGAAATCATGTTTTGTTTTAATTTAAACAAAAACATATAAACAATGTACAAACTAAATCCAAAATACTAAAATTATATTTAAAATATCTATTTACTCTTAGCAAAATAAGTATAGCCTGAATCTGGGTTTATATCTGATTCTGTTTAATCTTTGGCATAAGGATTGGGAAAGATCTTTGCCTTAAATCCTGGTGACTCATGGGTTGGGTTCAGAATTCAGTTGTAATTTTAAGCAACCTTTTTCGAAATTCGTTTTCTTCGTGTATATTTAGATTATAACTACTGTTTGATTAAAACTTATTTGATTCATGATCATTCATATTATATGCTGTGAAAATTTTGATCAAACTAGCAGTGCTACAAAATATTTCATTGTTTTTACCAGAACAAACAACCGGGCTAGGTAGAACAAATCCTGCAATAATTTGAATAACAAACTTTAAAGTGTCAGTCAAGTCTCTAACTTGGTCACCTCCAGCATGGATTACTATCATTCACGCTAAATGGAGCTGCTCTTGAAGAATATTTGGACTCTACATGGGGCTGCCCTTGAAGAATATCCAGATGCTTTACTTGGTACAAAATACAGCAGTGTGAACAGTTGTGTGACACTTATTACATACATATTTGTGTGCATACCTGCACATATTGCACCTCCACTCCATGAGCTGCACTGATCACCCTGAATCCAATTCAAGTTGCTATTGATAACCTAATAAAGCCTTACATGACATGGAACCAGGTTATTTGAGGGACTGCCAGTCCCCAATGACATCCACCAGTGTCAAATGGTCCAGCAGAAAAAACTTGTGGGTTCCATCCACTAGGAACCCAGGAAAGGGCCTTAGCTACTGTGGCACCCACCCAATGGATTCCCCCCAAGGCCATGCTGGCCGCCACCTTAATGGCCTTTTAGAAGGACCTGAAGGCCTGCCTTTGCCATCTAATCTTGGATTAGAAAGTGTTGTGGAGCTTATAACATGGTTGTACTGTTCTTGAATGTATGTGCTCTCCCAAGAATTGTATTGTATGGCTTTTAATTGTTCAGTTGTTTTTTAAAATTTGTATTGTTTATATCAGCGGTCCCCAAGCCCCAGTCCATGCACCGGCACCGGTCCACAGCATTCCAGAAACACGGCCGCGCAAAAAAAGGAAGGCCCATCCATGGGATGCAGGGAGCATGTGAAACCGTTGCCCCTTCTGCTCCATGGAAAAAACACTCCATGGAACCAGTCTGGTGCCCAAAGTGGGGGGGGGGGTTATACGGCTGGGGTTTTTCTTTTGGTACTGTTTATGTTTTTATTGTAATTTATCATGAATGTGGACTAGGCAGCTTTATAAATCAAATAATAAATAAAATCTTGTAGAATGCTTCTTTTCTTCGTATAGCAGTGCTTTAGGATCTGTGAAAGAGTCATCATAATGATCACCACTTTTATTTTGTTGCTATACATCCATTAGTGACTGAAAATCATATTCCCCGTGTCTCTTAAACAAATGACATTCACTTCTTTAAGAGCCAGAATTTTGAACAGAATCTTAAACATGAACAGTAGATGGCTTTAAGTTTTTTGTGTTGGATCTTGTTGGCTTGGGGGGGGGAGGGAGTCTCAGCATTTTTTTGATATTTTACTGTTGCAAAATAAATACACAAATACCAACATATGTAACAAAAGTGACAAATACTGTAAATATTTCTCCATTTAATTATTGCTAAATAAAATAGGACAAGATTTTAGAATTATTTTACATTTAAGTATTCTGGACAATTAGCTATCAGTTCAAAAGAATGTAGCTGGTCTGCAGGTAGTCCTTGAAGTATTAGCCCTGGAGTGTTGGGGTTGAAATGTAATTGGAAGACATTTCTGGTTTTGACAAGTTTTAAGCTCCCTCTGCCTTGTTAACTTTTCAATTGTTCCTTTTAACTTCCTTTTAATCTGGTTTTTAACTATATCTTTTATATCATTTTACTGATTTATCTTTAAACTACCCATAAAGACATGAATGTCATAGGTGGTATAGAAATTTGATGAACAAAATACATTTTTAGCATGTTGTTGTTTTTTTTTGCTTCAATAAACAATATTTATCCTAGGTTTGGTTTGTTTGTTTTTTAATGTTCTTTGCAGAAAGTTAGCTAATGAGAAATTTACTTCTGTTGAAACATGCATTAGATAGTGGTTGGTAGTTGGAACATTGTTTCTTTCCTTAGCACAATATACTAGCAAAATCATTTATATGAAATGGAAGGTTACAGCTGTCACAGCAAGTTAGAAAGTTGAGATACCATGCATTGCTGCTCCTTTAACCATAAGATTTTTCCTGCTTAGTCATTTTCATTGACTATACTGCTTTGACTGACTTGGATTTATATTGTCAGCTTGATCATTATTAAATAAAATCAACAAAGGCCACACTGCTTGCCTGGCATATTGCTAAATTACAGATGTAACCCAAACACTATTTATTTGTTTATGTAATAAAGCAACCTTTTTGTTTCCCATCTCAGATTGATTAAAACATTCATTATAATTGCCCACCTGTTGTGAGTAGATAGCCAGTTTATGCACAGTCAAAATTATTTTGTTTTGTTCTTAATTAATAGCAGTGCTACCTTGACAGCAAATGTTAAGTGCTATTGGAAGAATCACTTTTGCATTTTCTGAAATCTCTGTATTTTAAACATTTATATACTGCTGCCATTTGTTTGATTTTTTTTTTAAAGGAAGACAATTTGAGACCACGCAGAAGCAAAATCTTGAGATATACAATATTTTATATTGGAATTTCAGTTGCAGTAATTGAAATATATATTTTGCTTAGTTTAAGAGCTTTTCTTGAAGGAGAGTGTATGCCATTTGAAAATAACATAATTTCAAATGATTCTAAGCTCCGAAGTTTATAGCTTCCTTGTAGAAAACTGACAAGGATAGAGCCAAGGATTAAGCTGAATTCAAGGGTGTTGTCTCCCTCTGTAGGTTAAGCAGATTTTTTTTTTAAGCAAAACAATTTCTCAGAATTTAAATGCCTTAAGCAGACTAAAATGTGTTTTTGGTATTGTTGACCTTAGTGGAGAGGCAGAACTTAGGCATATATACAGCTTCAATTACATAGCTGCTAAATTTTGCAAACCTGAAACATAGCTGCGGCATCTATGTGCGTCAGTGCCTTGTTTTGCGTTTGTCCTTTAATGCAACTGTTACTCTCCCATCCAGCAAATCTTAGTTCATGCTATTTGCACAATCCTAATGAAACACTGTCAAGAAAAAAGATGTTCATACTATCTGTGCATGTTGTGTAGGCTGCTGGGTGAATGTTTAGATTTGGGAGTGGGGTAGATCTGAGAGGCTTTTAGTTGGATTTTCAAAACTTTGGTTCACATCTTGAAAATAATGATAGTTTCTTATTCTGGTCTTTATGTACAAATGCAGATCAGTTGTTGATTTATCTAGAAATACAGTGAGTAGTATCGTATTCACTTATAACCATAGCTGGAACTTGAACCTGAGTAACTGAGTTGTGCCCAGTGACCATTTTTGCTGTGACCATTAAGCAAAACATAGTTGTTAAGTGAATCCGGCTCCCCTCAATTACTTTCCTTTAAAGAAGCTTTCTGGGAAGATGGCAGATGGCAATTATGTGACTGGGATGCTGCAACCATCGTAAATATATGGCCAGTTGCCAAGCACCCAAATTTTGATCATGTGACCATAGGAATGCTGCAATGGTTATAAGTACAAGGATTAGTGAAAAACCACTTTTTTCAGCACCATCATAATTTCGAATAGTCATTAAACAAATGGTTGTAAGCTGAAGACTAAAACCTGTCAGTTTCTAACCTTTTGTCAACAAGATCAAGAGAAATTTATTAAATGCTTCACTGAACTCAGGATACATTAATGGCATTATTACAGTCTATAGATAAACGATCCTATTTAAAAAGGCAATAAAACTTGTATGGTATGATTTTATCTTGATAGATATGTATTGATTTCTAATAATCAGTACATGTTGCTCACAAGTCTATTTTAAAATAGAATTTGGCATAGAATTGCTGGACTGATGTGTAGATCCCTGGATCCTTCTTTATTTTCTCCATAGAGCAGTGTTTCTCAACCTCCACTCCATGAATGCTGGCTGGGGAATTCTGGGACTTGAAGTCCAGACATCTTCAAGTTGCCAAAGTTGAGAAACACTGCCATAGAGGCTTGATACTGCCTAGATTCTTGAAAATATATACTCAACTATGGTTTTATAAACCATCAAGGGGGTTAAGGTAGAAATACAGGTTCTAGCTCAGTTGCCCCTTTCCCAGTCCCTGAATACCAATGTCTTGGCCTCAGGTTATTCTTAATTATTGCTTGAGAGTAAAAAGAATTTGCCTAAAAAATAATGGGCCAATATGGCATGCATGGTTGAGACATGGCACAGCAACTCCCAGTGGAGTTGGGGGATAATGCCGAACCTTTGTGGAGAATTTTGCTGTGACCAGAGGCTCAGCTCAGCTCTACTGAAATAAGATGCAAATATCTTTTCTATTTGGCCCTTGCATTGAACAAAAGGGGGCTATGTAACCTCTAGATACCTTTTAATCAGGAGTATCTATAGTGACAGTCATTGATTTCAAAAGAGCATGTTCATCTGAGCAATTAAAACTGATCTGTTGTGTGCTTGCAGTGCATGTAATGTGTTAAAAAGTGTGGGATTTTGCCCACCATTTTGAAGCCAGTGAGCATCATTGAGGAAGCTCCTGCTTCCACTATTTCTACAATTTCTAATGGTGGATTGTAGAAACAAGCTAAGATACTGCTAATACACTGCCTGTCATACTGCCCAACAGGTTCACTGCCTCAGTTCCTAGATCTCACTATGTGGAATGGAACAACTCATCACAGTCAACTTGTTCAGGGACAATTTAACAAATACAAAAGTTAAATTAATTTCAGCGGAGCCATGGCCAACAACAATAATAAAACAAAGTCAATCTAGAAATAAAAGTTACAATAATTTCACCAAAAACATTATCACAGTTATAGAAGTAATTGATTAATGCACTGAGTTGTTCCGCGATGAGTTGGCCATGGCAAGTTGTCCTAGAAACCAACCAACCCCCCCCCCCCCCAGTGTGAACCAGTCACCCACCCACCCCCTAATTCTGGACTCAGTAATATGTTAGAGGTGGAATCTTTAGTAATTCAGGAATTCATGGACATTGTGATAGTATATTGTCAATCACTTTAGTTTGCAACTCATCAGTAACACTGATAGAAGGTGGGTGGGGAGTACCTTTTTTATGCCAGTTGAACAATTTCTTTGGAAGTTTATCATTGTTGCATATTCATAGAAGTTGTCATCCCTCAGTAGTTTTTACCTAAACACAATAAAGAATGCTCTCTCAAGATTCTCTCACTGTGCAAAATCTAATGGAACAGGTATTCTTCACATTCCCAGTTCATTTAGAGCTTTTTCTTGGCTCTAAGTAAAATCCTTAATGTTGAAGTGATTTGAAGGATCTGTATGCATTTTAAAATTAAATGTTAGTGTTTATTTTATTTAACAATAGCTTACTCTTTAAAGGGCAGATGGAATTTGATTAGTACTACTTGGGCTATTAAATAGTTTTAAAGTGCATTATAAAAGACAGCAAACCAAAAAACAATACAGTAACTTGCTGGGAAAAAGTCAGGCAGCTGATTAAAATTTCCTTGAGTTACTTTTTTGTCATTGGTGAGTTTATGGTTCTCGGAAAATCAATAAAAGAATCATGAGAATGTGGCAGCAAAAAGGAGTATTTCAAAATATTCTGAAAATTATCTTATATGCATGTCATTAATGAAGCACGAATATGAGTTATAACAATTTTTGTTTCAACAGAGCTCAACAAAAACCCAGTGGAAGGCTTCTCAGCAGGTTTAATAGATGACAATGATCTCTATCGATGGGAAGTTCTTATTATTGGGCCTCCAGATACACTCTAGTAAGTATTTCTAATAATACAGCTAATAGCTTGTGATGTTAGCATTTAATTTCTTGTAAATTAGCTTCAGGCTTTGATTGAAAGCCTGAAACTGGTAGCATAGCTTTTGGTCTCATTTTAAGATTTAATATAAGACTTGAATATGCATCTTAAGTGTGTCAGTGCTCTCTGCATACCTCTTAGGGGAGCAGAGTATTGGCTTGCAAGATAGTCTCTAGATTGGAAATCCTAACTTGCACAGAGTAGCATTTTATGATCATGTATGTAAGAAAGTTATTGTGTGTTTGCTGATTTAGGAGAGGTGTTATCAAGGGAATAGGAATGCTGTGGATGAATATAAAAGTTTGTTACTGAATGCAATAACCTGTGTATGATAGAAGTAAAGCAATAGCAGTATAGCAGTAGACTTATATACCGCTTCATAGGCCTTTCAGGCCTCTCTAAGCGGTTTACAGAGAGTCAGCATATTGCCCCCAACAATCTGGGTCCTCATTTTACCCACCTCGGAAGGATGGAAGGCTGAGTCAACCCTGAGCCGGTGAGATTTGAACCGCTGACCTGCTGATCTAGCAGTAGCCTGCAGTGCTGCATTTAACCACTGCGCCACCTTGGCTCATAGCATGCATGTGGTTAAATAAAATGGTTAACATAAGTACCTCTTGGAGGAGGGACTAAAGCCAAGGATGTGTAATAGTTTCTTGATCATTTAATGTACTTAGGGATAACTGTATCAGGAATGTTTGTGATGTTTGCGGTGTGTCAGTTTGGAACATGAATGCTGTTGTTGGCTGAAAACCTGAATAATATTCAGGAAAAGTTAGATTGTGTGATGCAATGGGACATCTACTACTACTAAAACTGTTGTATTTGTAACCTTTAACTGGGTGAAACAGATGCATCAGAGGGCAAAACTTTTTCATGGAAGGTAGCTAAAATGGGTTAACTCACCAAATGTAGCCAAAATCCAGGGCCCATGAAGGTTGTATGCATGTATGCAAACACAGGGAAGTCAGTGAAAGGAGGCATAGAGTGCATGTGAGCAAAGAAGAAAGGAAGGCATAGTCCATGCAAGGAAAGAAAAGCTGGGGGTGGGGAAGACTTACCCAAGTGACTTGCAATCTTTCCTGCCAGCTTCCCCATTAACCATGTTTTTAGGAAATCATCATGAAAGATCACAAATGGTGATCATGTGACTGCAGCACATTTGCAGGTGGTCATATGTATGAGCTATCTGCCAAGCATTCAGATTCTATTCATATGACTACGGGAGCCTTGTGGCAGCCAGAACTTTGAGAACCAGTCGCAAGTTCCTTCATTCAGCACTGTTACTGAATGTGCAGTCGTAACTCGAGGGCTACCTATAAGTTGAACAGAAGGAAAACATCAATTAAATTTTAGTTAGATGGAGCTGATGAAATTCTCAAAAAGAAAGCTACAAAAAGGTTAAACAACCAAAGACCAAATATGACGCTGTGTATGAATATTGTAGAAGCAAATACAGTTTTATAAGGATTGAAGGAGGAATATAAAATATATTGAATGAAACCAGTTTGGTATAATGGTTAAGGCACCATGCTGGAGACCATGAGTTGTAATCTAACTTAGGCACAAACCAGTTGAGTTGCCTATGGGCCAGTCACTCTCTCTCAGCCCTAGGAAGGAGGCAATAGCAAACAGCTTTCAAAAATATTGGCAAGAAAACAGCAGAGACCTGTCTAGGCAGTTGCAGAAGCCAATACAAAAAAAGAATGAATTACGTTTACTTATATTTCCTTTTCTTTTGCTTACCTCATGTATGGTTTGATTTTATTCTTTTCAGTGGTTTGCATAATATTGCTTTATCCCTTGTAAGTGGATATAATGGGCATGTATATATGTAGAATGATATTATGCAAATCTAAGCTAACCTTGGCTAAGCCATTATTTTCTTCAGCTCCCTTCTCTCTGAAACCTAATGGGATCCACATGCTGAAACAAAGTTGCATATGAAATGTAACATTTCTTACACATTTGAGAAATATTTGTTTCCAACTCAATGGAATGTTGGAAAGAAATTGTGGAAAGTTGCTTGGAACTGTGTCTGGCTGTAGACAGGGTAACTACAGAAACTGAAAAGAAAGGGAGCAAGTTTGGTGTGAGAGGATAAACTGATAAAAGTAAAAATGAATTTGAAAATGAGCCATGTAGAAAAAAAAATCACTAAAAAAGCCCAGTGTATCCCTATGGGAAAGACAATTGGCAGCCATTCAGAATATTGCTGACTATTCCACTCTAAGCCATCTTCCTTTTCCCTCCTGGTCATATGGCCCAGAGCAGAGCATGTAGCCAACCTTGTACTTCCCCAGTGCATATATATACACATAAAACCCAGATAGGTATAACATTAGAGAAGAGCAGAAACATGTACACACACAACACACACACCATCTTACTTTCCAACATACAAGTAGAACTAATTTACTAACCACAGTAGGGACTGGCGACTTCATTGCTAAGCAGCATGATTGTTAAGCACAAATACACATGACTATGACTTGTGACGTCCTGTCTGCTTCCCCATTGACTGTTGGAATCTGGCTGTGAGGTTGTAAATGGTGATTCTGATCACAGGAGGGCAGGATGGTGCAACTGTTATAAACGCATGCCAGTCGCTGAGCACCCATATCACAATCACATAACTTTGGCAGCTTTGAGGATTAATCCTAAATCTTGTTTTTCAGTGCTGTCATAATGTTGAATGGTTGCTGAACAAGTGGTCAGTAAGCAAGGACTACCTGTAGTAACGTCTTCTATGGTTTGCTGGTCAAAGAATAGAAAAAAATTTCAGAAGCAATGCTTTGTGTGGTTTCTATATTCAAAATAAAAAGATAATTTAAAAAATAATATGTTATAATTCTTACAATTAGTTCTCCTTTAACAACCACTTATAACTGAACAGTATGAATGGCCATTAGACCAACCTCATACTTATAGCCATTGCTGCATCATCCACAATCACATAATAGCAATTTGTGACTTTTTCTGCTGATTTCCCAGAAGCAAAGTCAGTGGGGATGCCAGCAGGAAATCAGATGTCACAGTCACATGAGCTGCTCACTTAATAACCTGTACAGTCCTTGTTTAATGAAAACAACAGAACTGCTGTCACTAAGCAGCATAGCCATGTGGGTTTTCTATAGAGTTTCAGGTCACAATTAGTGTTGTTAATGTGTAAAACACAACATATTTATAATACTTAATATACAAAATTATCTTCTCTGGTAATTATTTAAGGTGTTTAAGAATATATTTCTACAGAATAAAAAATATTTAAAAATGGTTTATATAACTCCTGTCCACCTTTTTCTGAAAATAAGCTATATTCTGTTTAGTGAATGTAATATTAGTTGTAATATGGTTATGGATATAAATGTTGTTCTCTACTCCTGATATACATATACTCCTATTTATCCCTTTATCATGTCCCCCCCCCAAGTAATTAAAAAATGGATTGTAGGATCTGTGAATATGAATTATGAGCAAAAGTGTAAGAATGCCAGATAATACACTTTCCCTAAAAGATTTGAAAGGAGCAAAAATTTCAAGCACAGAGACAGTTATGATGAAGATGTTGCATAAGGATCAAGCTATAAAAAAATTAAACCTTAAGCTAAACCATGCTTAAAATTTAAAATTACCGTATTTTCCAGCATATAAGACGCCTTTTTAACCCCCAAAAATTATTTCAAAAATCAGGGGTTGTCTTACACGCCGGGTATACCAGAACCCCCCCCCCCCAAAAGGCAACGCTCCCAAGCAAAAAGCTGCGCTGCCACCAGCACAGATGCTGGCCTTTCAATTGATAACCTCGGTGCTCCTCACCTGGGCATGTGGATGGATGAGCGCTGGGATGGCTTAGTAAGGTCTGGCTGGCGATCTGGAGGAGGAAGGCGCTGAGCTCAAACTATGAAAGCCCAGCAGCGTGGAGGCCTTCAGCCGGCTCACGAGCGCCTGAAAGTAGGGGGTCATCTTATACGCCCAATCGCCTTATACGGCAGAATATACAGTAATTTTAAAAACCGCTAAGGAGCAAATCCCATTAAACACAAGCCATACATTTAACTAAACTCCAAAGGCTCTCTGCTCAGTCTTCGCAGCATCTGTTATCTGTTACATTTTAATGTAAGGCATAAAATATAAGAATACCATTTTTAAAAAAATCTATTCACAGAAACTCTGCTCATAATTTCAGTGGACTCCTTAACTATAAATTAATAATGGTTCAGCAGCTTAAAGGTTGAGCAGAACCTGAGTCTGAATTACATAAAAGTAAAGTGATACATAAAGATAATGCAAAGATTCATATAAGCAGGCTAGCAGCCAAAATGAACCTTGCAACCCAGGGTTTTGTATGTGGTATTTTTCTCTTCTGATTTTCATCATCTAGCATATTTAGCATGCTCTTGGTGTCATCCTAGGCTTTAAAAGTTGAGATCTGGATGTCTAAATGTGGTTTCAGTAACACAGATTATCCATTTTATGACTGTTTCCAAAACAGGAAATGACAGCTCAATCTTTTTGTCTGTATGATTACATATTAATCATGATAAATAACGGTAGTGCAGATGATAAGGATCTGATGGAAAAATGTCCCATATTGAGAATATCACTTTCTGAAAATGCATGTCTTGTTAAAATTACTACTTGACAAGAACAAGTTCAGGCATTTGTCATAATGCTTATTCATTTAATACCCCCCTACATACCAAATGCTATCTTAGGCACTCTGCCAGTAAGTTTGTAGTTTCATTTAACAGATGACGAGAGTGCAAATGCAGGTGGCCCTACAACATCTTTTACGCAACAAATGTTTCCTAGACTGCACCATAGAAACCCCACTATTCTTTTATTCCAAATGCAAGGAAGCTTTTCCTTTATTTAATCTGTATTGCTGTAGGCAATGTTCTTCAAATATTTAAGTCTTGCTTTTAATCCTTATCCACAAGTTTAGACTTAACCTACACATCTTTATTTTACTTTTACTTTGTTTGGGTCTGGATTTCATTATATCACTGTAAGAAGTTTGGTAGAAGTAGAGATTTCTGGAAGATAATTCCTCTACTTGTACTCAGCTACAGTTCTGGGAATTTAGATAGAAGGCAAAAAGGTCTCGAGTATTTTTCCTTGCATGGTTGTCTCTCAGCTTTTAGAACCTTGTAGATCTGTTCTGAGCCCAATACTTTTGGAAATATATTTGATGGGAAAGTCACAAGTGAACCTTTTCTGAACCTGATATCAAAGGTTGGCATACACCCTCCACCCCGCCAAAGAAAGAAAGCCTACCGGCTTCTTTTTCTGCATTCTTCCTGACAGTCAAAATATTTTTATCCAGGCAGGCAGTTGATGTATAAGCTTGTTTAATTCTTTAATTATGTAGGTTTGTTTAGTGTTCTACATTAGCACACAGCTGTCTTTCAAAAGACACAGTGCTTATTTGTTTGTGATCTATACTATAGCTCTTCAGTCCCTGTCTAGAGATTTATTTGTGATGTTATCATTTATACTAAGATACAGTACACATTTGTTAGTACTTCCCCCTTCAGTGAGTTATCAGTCAACCTGGACCATGATGGTATCTGGTTTTTTTAAATGGGCGTTTCTCTCTGGCCTCTGTTGTCTGTCTGCCTGATTGCAGCCTTCACCATATGTGTGTAACAGCTGCCTAGATTTAAGCCAAAGCTCATATGATTTTAAGGGAGGCATTATCATTCCATTCACTGTATAGGATTTCCTTTCTACAGTAAATGGGCTTCCTGTTCACTCTTGTGTGATACTTAACGACTATGAAGAAGAATGACAAACTGCTCGTGATTTTCATTCTTCAAATGTTTATCTGGGCATTTAACACAAACTACTATTTTCCTTTTCTTTAAGTTTGGAAAGATGCTCCCTTAAACAGAAACATTGTGGAGGAGGGTATGATTTTTTTAAAAACAAACAAACAAACATTTTGTTTGTAGAATAGCTTTCCCCAACTTGGGTGCCCTTCAGTTGTTTGAATTTCATATTGGGCAAATATGGCCATTGCTAAGAATTTTGGTAATTGAATTTTGATGCTTGGATTGTGGAAGTCTGCTTTATATCATACTAAATGAGTTTCTGCACCTGCTCAAAACCTCATATGCAAATTCAGAAATGACTGGCCAAAGTTGCAAGTTAAACAACCTACTGTTTTCAATTTGTTGTAGGACTTATGGGGCCATTTATATTTTTCATGGGTTTTTAATCTTCATGTTAGCTGTGGTTCCTCATCTATTGGTTAGACTAGCAATTTGGTTTATATCTTTGCCAAGATAATTAGATGGAAAGCAAAAAAGGAAGTGAACAATTGAAACTGTGCAGTATATAGCATAGTATAACCTTTATTATCATTGAACAAAATAAATACAATGAAATTTATTTTAGCCCACTGGTGCAATTCATGACAACAAATACAAACAACATAAATAGTATAAAAAATAATCCCAATGCAAATAATTAGGGGGAAAGAAAAACAAAAAAGAAAGAAAAGAAAAAACTAGTCATATGTTTTTGCGTGTGCATGGAGTGATTGTGGTTGTGTTTAAGAGCCTGACTTAAACATGCGTTTTTATAATAATCAAGAGTCTGCATTTTATGTACATATCACTTTGGTAATACATACTATTGATAAGAAATGCTACATAAATTTGGTTTGAGAATAGTGGATTAAAGATCAGAATCTTTTCACATTTATACTTTGATATAAATCCCATTTAAAATCAGTGGACGTTTGCAATACAGAGAGAATGGTTTAATTATGAAATAATGAATTTAGATTACAGTAAATACTTCACGGTTCTGGCTTATGAAATTTCAGTGTTAATTCCCACTGAGGAAGTATTGAATGTATAGGAAGCAATTTAAATGATTAAAAACATCTGTTTAATCAATAATCAGTCTTTTGAATGTTATAGCGACTGTTTTCAAGCCAACAAATAACTTGAGGCTTTGCCATTTTAAAAAGTCAATTACTGAAAATATTCTTAATTTCTTTAGTGAAGGCGGTGTCTTCAAGGCTCATCTTACTTTCCCAAAAGACTATCCTCTCAGGCCGCCAAAAATGAAATTTATCACAGAAATATGGCATCCAAATGGTAAGAATCTATGTCTCATAAAATGTTGTTTCTTGTCTTATATGTGGAATGAATGTGAACTACATTAGGAATCACTGTGGGAAATCACTAGAAAGGAATGTCATATTTGGTCCAGAAGAATCTCGTCACTAAAATCAGGATGGACCAGAAATGTTTTCCTGAAATGAAGAATGTAAAAGAAATTGGATTGCTTTTCTACACTGTTTTCTCCTTAATATCCACAATTCCCCTAGAATGATCCCCTGAAAATTATGAAATCCATCTTAGTGCTGTCATTGTGGTGCTAAAGAAAAGGAGATTTCATAGAAATTTAAAATGAATTTTTGAAATGTCAAGCCCAGTACATTGTTTTACTGTCTTGCACTGTACGCAATCTGTTGAACTTAAGACTTGTGACCTTAGAAATTGTATTACAGTATTATAATAACTTACTCCATGGGCATATGGGTTTTGATGGCTGTGATCTAGCTGTGGTAAGGGCCAGCAGATCCATCGTTCCTGCCTGGTATATAAGCATTGGGGATTAGAACTTGGGGCATGGGGGGATACCCATCTCTTCAGTTACTGGGGACATGCTGGCAGTCTAACCCAAAGTTGGGCAGAGATAGAAGGAAAGTAATGAAGTTGAATAGAATGGCCTTAGAGAAAAGTGGGAGAAGTGTGAAGAGTCTTGTTCTCAGTTGGGAAGGGAGAAGAAAAGTCCAGAGATGGCTTCCTTGGAAGAAATGAAGTGAAGACCTAGAGCAGGGGTGTCAAACTCAAGGCCCGCAGGCTAGATCTAGCCCATGGGGTGCTTATATCTGGCCCATGGGGTCGCCCTGGAAACAGCAAAGGACCGGCCCACGATGCCTCTGCCACAAAAAATGGAACTGGTGAGGACCGTGCCCTCCCGCCCCCCCAAGCTCCATTTTCACTGGCAGAGTGTTGCAGGAGGCCATCCCAGCCAAAAATAGAGCTTGGGAGGTTGTTTTTGCTGGCAGATCACTCGGGCCCCCACAGGTTCCCCCCACACGAGCGACATGCTGGCCACGCCCACCCCCCCTGAAGTCAAACACAACCCTGTTGCAGCCCTTCGTGAAATCGAGTTTGACACCCCTGACCTAGAGGGATGAGAATTCAACCCAAGAACAAAATAGAAGGAATTGGCTAGCTACAGGAGGCAGCATCACCCACCATCCAAGAGGGAAAGCTTGAGATTCGCTTTTGGCAAAGAAACCCTGATTAATGGGAAAGAACTGAGCAAAAGACCGAAGAGAGAAGCAGTAGGTGTTAGGCTGAGCAATTCCAGGTACAGGTAATATTACCTGAGCATGTTATAACAAATTTTAGCCTTTTCTCTTGTCAAACCCATACATGAGAGATAAAGAGGGAAAGAAAGGGGGGGGGAGGCAAAAGAGATAGAGGGGGAAAGTCTCTTGGAGGAAGACTTGAGAGGAAACATGACATTGGGTATTGTGTTGTATATACCTGCTGTATAATGCCTGCTGTATATAACATCACCGTAAAAAGCATAAAAGCCTTCTCTGTCAGTTGCCACCCTTGCAAAACAATACACCTCCAATTAAAAAAAAAGAAAGAACTGAGCCACTCTGTGATACTCCATAATATTAGCATGATGGATTGAGGATCATGACTGAGAATTGACTCATTGCTGATTTTTGCAGTTATCTGAAATATCTTCGTTGCTACACTATGCCTCTGAATGATCTTCCCCTTCTTTCTTTGCAGTTGACAAAAATGGTGATGTCTGTATTTCTATCCTTCATGAACCTGGTGAAGACAAGTATGGCTATGAGAAACCTGAAGAACGCTGGCTTCCCATTCATACAGTGGAAACCATAATGATTAGTGTAATTTCTATGCTGGCAGATCCCAACGGCGATTCTCCTGCTAATGTTGATGCAGCGGTATGACTCTTCTAAATAAAAATGTTCCTACCATTGCTAAAAGAAATTAGGAATTAGTTTGAGTCCTCGACTAACGGATTTCTTCTCTAATAAATATTTTCTTAAGAGAAACAGGGCTTGGACTAAAAAAAAAAAGTGTGTTTTATAGTGTTAATCTTCTGATTTTGGATGGCAGCAAACCACTTGATAGGTTCCAGGGAATCTTTTGACCTTTTAAGGACCCATATTGTTTGGTGCCGTATTCTCTGAGGGACCACCTTGCTCCGTTTACATCTATCTATTCAATCATGTCCAGCAGGAGAGGCATGTTGTGGGTCCTGTTGACCAAGGAGCATTGTTTGGTGGGGCTTGAGAAGAGAGCCGTATTGCTGCAGTACCCACCCTCTGGAATACTTTTCTCCTGAAGTGAGATTGGCCCCCAACTCTATTAGCCTTCTAAAAGGTTCTTAAAACTTGCTTCTACCATTAGATCTGTGGATCCCAGAGAAACATGAACCATGTAAAATGGCTGTATTGTATGCACATTTGGAATGCGCTCTCCCCACCTCTTGTTTTTACAGGTTTTTTAAATAATTTTAACTGTTATTTAACTATACTAATGGTTTTGTTTTTATTTTTGTTTGATTAGTTCAGGATGGAATTGAAAATTATACTTACGATGAAGTTACTCAACAAGCTACAATTTATAAATGTATGCTTAATTCATTGAATACATTAGTTGAAACAGCACGTGCTATTTTTTTCTCTTAAACAGAAAATAATGGGTATTTTTCCCTTGGGGTTGGAGAGACAATGCATGTTTTAAACAGTTTTCAAAATCTGTATTTTAATTTACAGAAAGAATGGAGGGAAGATAGAAATGGAGAATTCAAAAGAAAAGTTGCCCGCTGTGTAAGAAAAAGCCAAGAAACTGCTTTTGAGTGACACTTAATTCAGTTAGTTGCTTCACTTTTTTCAGGGTAAGTAATTTAACTAACAGAGAATTCTAGTTTTAACAGGAAATACTGCAAGTTAGCATCATAAATATTACCTTTATATGCTGTGTTCCCTAGATGGTAAGGAAAGATTGATCTCATACTTATATGGGAAACTAGACTATGAGGACCAGTACTTCACTGGGTAGTTAAGCATTGGAAACAAGTGGCTTATTGAAATCTATAGCTTAAGGTCACTCTGAGCATTTTGAAACTGTTCTCAGAAAGTTTGCTTTCTTCCTGCCTTTCATTTGAAGTGGAAATAATTTGAAGCAGTGAGTCTCTTGGGCTGCATAACAGTGGATGGATCTTTATCCTACTAAAGGTTTTCTGCCTCTTCTGTAAAGGGCTTGATTTTCTATCCACATACTACTAAGGTAGAATCTACTAATAGTTGATACTATGTTATATATACATTCAGCTTGCTATGGTCTAGGAATCCGAGTTAAAATAGAATTTTAAGAAGAATCAAGGTGGCATGTTAGACTTCGTGTTACAACCTATACAGCTGTTATATAAAAGCTCCTTGAGGCCGTGGGTTTTGAGTATTTATTTTTTAATTAGAGAAAATCCAAACTACAAAAATGTATATTAAAACATCTGAGGATAATCATCTTTTGGTTTCATATTTGGGAGAAAAGTGATATTGGAATGCTCAAGAATAGAGTAAAAGCATTGGTGTTTTCAGAACTTAAGCAGATGTGGAACTAGCCAATCTAATGGATTGGATTCCACTGTTATTCCATATAAGAGCTGATTATAATAGTACTTATACAAAACTATAATATTTAGAGTGTTAACTTTTCTGTAGAAACATTTTTGTCTAATATATCTCCAGTGTTGTAGCAGCATTTGCTTTATCTACCATAAGTCTCAGAGAATAGTTACATTTGTTTATAAGTGTCTTCATGGCAGAAGTTATAAGTGCTAATGCGAATCTTGAAGCTGATTTTTTTAAAATCAAGATATTGGCATTTACCTCTGAAAACTAAACATGCAAATTTAGATTTACATATATAAATATGTGTGTGTGTATTAATAGTATTTGGGAATGACCTTGGGAGATAGGATGAAGAGGTACAGTCTAGATACTGCAAAAAGTGTCTCAGCCCACAGAAGGAAAAGAAGCATGGGAAACATCTCAGAAGAGACATTCCCCAGTTTTCTGGAAAGTAGAAAGTGGGGAAAAATTATTTCAGACTTGCACGATTCTGTTACTATAACCTTACAATAAAGGTAATGTTAGTACTCATGGTTTGTGCTTCTTGTCTGGACTACTTCAAAGTACTGACAGTATGAGAACAAGTTCTTCACTTGGGGGTTTGGTTTTTTGGGGGCACATCAGTCTCAACCTGATGGGTAAACTTTCCAGCTTTAGCAGATTACCTCAATTGGTTTAAGATTTTCCATACAATACAGATTATGGGATTCTTAATATCTTGTATGTGAGAGAACAGTTTAAACCATGGCAAAACCACCAATGGGTGGAAACTAATCACTACCATTCAGAAAGGCTGCCTTGCATTGTTCCCCAAGATGTGCAAATCTTAGGGAATGGCATGATTGCCTCACAGCCCAGCGCTTCCCAGGATCTGCTGCACATCACTTAACATGAGTTGATGTTCTCTTTCTGCTGACTGATTCCTATGGCCTACCTGAGGCTGCGGCAGGTACACAAGGCCTTCAACAAAGTGGCTTCAGAGAATGCTCTTCCGTAGCCTCTGCAGTGTTGAAAAACCACTGAAAACACACCCTGTTTGAAAGCACAACCTGTTCTCATAGGAATGTTGGTGGTCCAGAGAGTTCATCCCATTCCCACATGGCCTCCACAGCTCCCAAAAATTGCATAAGAACAAAATCCACCTTCAAGAATAATTGGGGGTTGGTGAATGTTGGTTTATCACCCAAAATATTGTGGCATGTCATCTTTGACATTCATGTTATAGGTTCACCATCCTGGTTTAAACATATGGCCTTTCACTTAGCCAATCAAGATAGTCTTATACTTAATACCTTTTCCTGCGCAATTTGGGCATTAATACGTTTTACTAGTGCAATATTTCAGCTTTATTTCATGAATAGTCAAGTCAGTAAAAGTGCTTTTAATTGGGTGTTTTAAATGGAGCTAGTCAATGGGCATTTATAGCAGTGCAACACTATAATTTTACAAATTAGTAGTTAAAATTGTACATGCCCTAAATATTTAACCGCAAAGGGTGCTTAGTGAGTTAGAGCAGCCTAGAGGTAAATGAATTAGAACTCTGAACAGCAGTTCAGTTGCTGGTGATAGAAGTTAACTGTCTAATAAAAATACTCTAGGGATTCTCATATTAATATATGTTGGAAGTACTAAAGATATATGAAGATTCATATGAAATCTAGGTACCATGGCTGATGGTTCTCTCTTCTTTTGTCTGTAGGTTTCCAATTGAGGAATATGGCACTGTTTTTCCTGCACTCTACCCACCTATTGCTGGACTTCTGTTTATATCAAGTTGGCAGACACTTGCAGGAACTGGGCTGCAATAAAACATGGCAGTTATTAATGCTGACAAGGAGTCTAACAAGTGCCAACAAAGATTTGTGCATTTTGAAAACTAATGGAACTGCTTTAACCTTCAGGAAGAATTGTAAAGATGTGTACATAGCACAACATGATCCGGATAATATATATACTGTTCATGTACATCCACAAATACACATTGTACCAAATAATGCTGTCTTGTAGTTAGAATAAGAATCGTGTAAATTCTAAAGATTTTTAGCAGGTTCTTTTTTTCTCCACTCCAATTCATGGGGTTCTTTTCTTATGAGCCTTTTCTCAAATTTTCTCATGAAGCATGTTGGACTAAAACAAATTAGGATTAAAAAAAATTCCATTTTAACTTTTCTTTTCAGCCATTAAAGTTTCGTTAAAAATCTCACTTTAATAAAAATTTAATACCTTTGTAACTTCCTTCCCCTCAACATTTTTTGGGAGTACATTAATAAAACATTGAGATCTGTCATTTGATTCCGACAATGACTTGAGCATTGTCATCAGGTGATGCATTTATTCCCCTTATGTTTTTATCTAGCTGTGCTCATCTTTTGGCTTGGATGCAGCAATAAGATTTACAGCCATGAATTACGCTTGAGCCTACTAGTTGTTCCCAAAAGGGCTGAGAGCATTTGCTTTGAAAGTGGTCAGCTATGTAAGTTAGCCCAATATAGGTTGAACCACTTTTTTTATTTCTTGCCTGATTTGAAGTTGGATAAATAAAAGCATGCAGAGCTATAGGCTTCAAGTGAGTTCTGGTTTTGTTATCATATACTCTCCCCTATCTTACCTCTTCTTTTTCCTCTTTTTTGCATTCTGATCCCATACAGATTTTCCTCACTTAATGTATAAAGAGAAATTGCAATGTATATTTTCATGTAACTTGATTTTGGAATTCTGTCACCTTCTGTAGTGAGTTCTTCCAAAATATAAATTTTTCCAATAGTTCTGTGTCAAGTGGCTGTCTGCACTTTAAAAAATGAGAACACATTTTCAGAGAGCCTTAACAGATTTAGACTGCAAATCCATGTCAGTGAGCACTGACAAATCCCATGTATTCCATGCACTATACTTGGACTGTTGATTGGGTCAAAGACTTGTTAATGAGAGTTCTGTGAACCTATGAATACTTTATAGCATAGCCTTAACAACTGCATTAGATGATGATGCATCATATTTGAGGATAATAAAGCTGAATGCTCTGATAAGATTCCCCATCAATGAATCAGAAATGGAAAAGTTCCCATTTCCATGCAGATTTTTCATTTCCTTAAAATTTGCTCAAGAGTTCTAGGTGACTCTAAAGCAAATTAGCAGGTGACAGGAAGATTAGAGATTCTTGTATGAGAGGATATATCTGTATAATATATTCCTTGGATTTTCCTGCAGATGATATAATAAATTTAATGCCCATTTAGGGGGAAAAATCAATTACATCAGCCACCATCTGGAAACTGTCCAGATCTTGCTAGGGTATTATTCCTAGCATTCTTCATTATCAGGCATGTTGATTGAGGGCTGCTGAATATACAGCCTAGGAAGTAGAAGTCAATTGTAGTCTTTTAACTTATTGATGAGTAAATATCCTGATAAAAGATTGAGAGAGGAATGGACGGCAAAGCTCCATATTTGCAAATTGTCAAAAAAAAGTGTATGAACTCTTTATTAGAAGCACAACCGTTCCTACACTGTCTTATAATGCTCTTCCTGGTCTTGTCTGGCCTCCTTATTAGAGTTTATGTACATTCATCCGTTAGCTTCTGCATCAGCTCTCATTACTTCCTACTATATGTTGGCATGTGAATTAGAAATGGTACTTCATAAATTCACTGATTAAAAAGATACGTCTTGCTGTTTCTGAACCACTAGCAAGACATAGTAATTTGGTTTAGACCAGGGCTGTCAAAACTCAGTTTCATAGAGGGCCGCATTAGGGTTTTGTTTGACCTCACGGGGCTGGTGTGGGCATGGTCAGCTTGATGTTGTGTCAGGGGTGCCTGTGATGGTCCAAGCACTTTGCCAGTGAAAACAGGTTCCCAAGCTCCGTTTTCAGCTGTGACGGCTTCCTGCAACCCTGTGCCAATGAAAATGGAGCTTGAGAGAGCCGCACACAGCCCTCCCGAACTCCTTTTTCACTAGCAGTGGCACCACGGGCCGGTCCTTCACTGTTTCTAGGGCAGGCCTGTGGGCCAGATCTAAGTACCTCATGGGTCAGATCTGGCTCATGGGCCTTGAGTTTGACACCCCTGGTTTAGACAATTGATCAAGGACCAGATTTGCTTGACTTTTGCTAAGGGAGCTGGGGGTGGGGTATTGAAGGAGAGAAGAGATTCCTTGCCAACCAGCTGACTATCATTTGCGTTCTTTTTCTTGAGTAAAATATTACGAGGGAATTTTATTGTATCCTCCTGACCACCTCTTCCATAATTAAAACATGAAGGGAAGTATCCCCAATCTGTATTGTATATTTCTGTAAAACAAAAGAAAGCAGATTGAAGTTAAATTTGTCCCACGTTAAGAGAAAGCTTTGTTATGTTGTAGTCAAGCTGTTTTTGCTAGGTTTTATTCCTAACTTTGCCTGATCTTGAAACACTCAAATGTTGTATTTGGAGAGAAGAGCAACAGGAAATCCTATGTAGACAAAAGTGGGAAGCAAAAGAATTCCAGAAGGCAATGGCATACCATTTCTGTATTGCACCAAGAGGAAATTGAATGCAACCCGGGAGATTTTACTGCTCATGTTATACGTATTCTAAGCAAGGCTGCATAAATTTCTAGCTCTTGTTTTAAAGTATTACATTTTACTATTTAAAATCTATTATAGTTGATTTTCCAGTGGTGATCAACTAATAGCAAACTCTGATTTGTGAACTGTTTCCTCTGTTTAATTATTTGTTTTAAAAACAAGTACCTTAGAACAGCGGTCCCCAAACTTTCTAGCTTTGGAGACCAGTGGCAGTGACAGCAGGGGATGGTTTCATACACACACACACACACACCGCTTGCACAAATGCAGCTTCCTGTGCTTCCACGGCCTGATGGGTTGCCAACAGGCCACAGACTGAGACAGTAGAATCTCCGGTCACGACCATAATCCATTCCATGATTTTGGTCACAACCCAATTTGGTTGTGACCGGAAGCGAGACTTGACTGCACATGAGCATACCCCCCCCAAAAAAAAAAAACTGCAGAAGGGAAAATAGTCATGGCTGTGTTTGATCACCACCTGAGTATTTCTTTGCAACCAGATGCAAAAATTATGTGAAATTTTTGGTCGTGATCAGAAGCATTCGTGACCAGAGGTTCTACTGTTCCAGTCTGCGGACTGGCAGTTGGGGACATACTTTTTAAAACTGCATATAGATGATAAAATCTTGTCCTGCAGTGTTGCCTCAACCTTGGGCAAAGTTGGTGTTCTTTGGAAAGATAAGTGAAGAATGTCAGGAGTGTATTATCAGTCACCCACATTGGGCAGCAGTGATCTAGGAAGGAAGATGCAGGAGGTAGAATTATCATTTTAGTGACAATGGTAAAGGCACCATGCCATGCAGCACAGAAGGCACCGGTTAATTGTGATTTAGGCTTATAAAGTGGCTGATGATGCAGTGCTGAATGATGGGCCCTTCAGTTTGGATGTCATTCAATATGCTTTTGTGGATGAGCTAATCTTTTGGAACACTAATGGTGTTTATAACATACACTATATTGCCAAAAGTATTCGCTCACAACTGAGTCTGATTATGTGGATGGGTGAGCGAACACTTTGGCAATATAGTGTAGCTACAATCAACTACACTTTTTATTTTTTTCAGTATCAAATAGACCAAAATTAGACACTTGCACTCAGAGAGTCATACTGTTTACTACTCAGGACATAAAGGAACCATTCTGATTTCATAATCGGAAAGTATACTGCAAGAAGAATACATGGGTACAATGCAGTATAGTGAGTAATGACAATCCCACCCACATAATCATCCTTTAATATGATTATCCAAAACTTATGTTCCAACCATTGATGCAGAAGAAGAGACTGATCAGTTTATTGTAAAGTTTTATCTAAAATTCACAGAAAATAACAAGTGAGACATTGCCTTCCTATGGAATCTATACTGTACTGGGCTGCACTGGATGGATCATAGCAAAACAAGAGTTCAGGACAGTAAAAGTGAGCTTCATGTTCTTTTATTCCATTTACATGTTGAATATATACAGGGAAACGACTGGAAAATGGTGAGTTTAGTTTGAAAACTGGAGGAAGAAACGTCAAACCACGCTATGCTATTCTGATACTGAAAATGAAAATGATTTGCAAGTTCTAGTTGTGAAAGTCAAGGAGCACAAGTGGGGGAAAGAGATCACATATAAAGTTCAAACTCATGAAAATGGTGCAAAAAGCATCCTTAGGAAGCAACAGTCAAGGAGCAGGGCACAGACGAGTACTTCACAGGGTAGCTGTGAAGGCCTTGAACAAGACATTCAGATGTCAGGATGTGTCTATACTTACAAAGATCAGAATCATGAAAACAAGGAGCTCCTCTACAATAATTGGTAAAAAGATAAATTGGACTTTGAAGAAGCAGGATAGGAAGTATTGGCACAGATTAAGAAAGCAAGTAGAACACAAGACAATCTTTTTTTATTAGAGCCACGAATGACCAGAATTAAATTGTATCCTGGACCTGTTATTTATTACTTAGTTCTCTTGCATTCTCTTAAGAAGTCTGTGAGACTGTGAAAGGTGGAAGAAAGAAGGAGTGGGGGGAAGACAACCAGCAGCAAGACTTAGTTATAGTAGTGATGGGTGTATTGTTCAGGAAGACCTGAAAGACCAAGTTGGGGGCCGATAATCCTGGTGGGGGGACGATATAATGGGGATTGGTTAGAGCTGACACTGATTTCATGGCATGTACAAAAGATGGTGGGACATAAATTTGTTCAAAAGTCCCTTATTTGAGGAAAAGAACTTTGACAATCAAGAAATACTCCCTTATTCTACAGCTAATCTTCAATTTACAACTACAAGGGAAGCTGGACAGTGCAGTCATATATACCATGACTGTCGTAAAGCAGGCCATCACATGCCTGGAGCCAATTTTATAATCCTTTTGAAGACCAGTTGTTAACTGAACACAAAACTCATTGTTCGCTATGGAGCATTTTTGCCAAACATCAGAAGATGGGTTTGGGCAAAAATGAAAACTCTGCTCGCATGATTTCAGAATGCTGCCAAAGGCTGTAAATGCGAGCCAGTTGCTGGGCACCTGAAATGCAATCATGTGACCATGGGTGGGAGAGCCTGGGGTCAGAATGGGTCGCAAGTACCTTTTGGGTGATCCTTTGAACAGTCGCTAAGTGACCAACTGGAGTTTGTCCATAGACTTTGGGGATCTAGTGAAACATTTCTAAGTGATTTATAATAGGGTGACAAGGATTTCTGAAGGGCCAGTTTAATTAAACTGGGTGAGTATTTTTAATACTCTTTTGTTTTATCATCCACTTGTACAGAACCTGCAAGGGACAATAGTGGTATGCAAAATACTGTATTGCAGAGCGGAAACAGCTGTGCATTCTTCTCAATATCCTCAGGTAGCTGAGCTCTCAGTTTTCAGTGCTCAGAGCAATTAGAAAGAAGATCAGAGAAATTAAAGAAGGCTTGTCTTATCATACTTACTAATAAGGCTAAAGTGCCTATATTTACTTGCCAAGACTTTGTAACATACATTCCTTTTCTCTCAATAGGGAGGCTGAGAATCTAGTTCTTGAGTGGGAGCGACTGTTAGAAGTTTGATATAGGAATTCCCAACTTAGGTCTGAGAAGCTGAATTTTGGAGCACTTTGATCCTGGGTTATTGTTCATAAATGTCAGAATAATGACTCCATGATCTAGTGAAGAAACAATACCTGAACTTGGCCTTATATTATTAAAATCTGGTTGGCTGATGATGGGAATGTA